ACGCAGAATCGGACCTTGGGATGCGGCCGCAGCAAGCTCGAGCGTCGCCGACGTACACAGAGAGGCATCCCATCGCAGCCATTGCTGGACGAGCGCCACGTCACCTTCCACAACCGAGAGGTGGAGCGCACTTGCGCGGTCGTAATAGCGCGGCGAGACAAAGAGCGCGTAGCTAGGTAGCTTGGTCGTCGGGTGGGGGTAGCGCTGAAGGTACGGTAGCGACGCAAACCGGGCTGGGACGTGCGCGAGGTACCCCGTTTGGTTCAAGTTTCGGTACTGCGAACCTGGTGTGAGGTTGACAGTGTCAGCGAGGCGCTGGACGATCGCCAAGTCTTCGGGAAGACCATCTTGGTACGACACAATGGCCTCGATGAGGTTGGGCGACTGAAGCACGAGCGAGGCCATCGTTGACAATTGGGAAATGACCGCATCAGTAGTAGTTTTGACACGCGCCAAATGTTGGTCGTGCCGTTGATTGTCATTTTGACTTCCTTATCCGTACAGAGTGCCGGATAATGGTTACGATGCGCGTCGATCGACAACAATTCACCGTGGTCGCAGTCCTCCTCGGCTCATGAGGTGTCGTCATCGCTGTGATACATTGAGCTGGAGGGTACATGTGGCGTGCACCGCCTCTCTTTCTTCCCAGGAGCGTATGCACACACTGATATATTCTGCATAACTCTCGTCTTGATATCGGTTAAACGCGGATCAAATGGCTGGACGACGTGTCAACATGGCTGCACGACTAACTACTACTCTATCGGATATATGGGGACTGAAAATGAGGCTCTAGTCTCGCCCTCGCGCCAATGTGCTTGTCGGCCGTGTACATGGTGGCGCCCGGAGGCCCCATCGTCTCCAGGTAGCGCAGTGTGGTCTTGCGGCGGCTGTGCATCGCTGCATCGCACACCACAGCCGTCCATCCAAAGCCGCATTTGGTGTGCAAATGTCGGAGCATGTCGAGATGGCCATGGAGCGCCGCGTGGACCATCATGCGCTCCGAGATGCGAGCTCGTAGCGGCGTCGCCAACTCGACGGGAAACGCGTCACCCACGAGCTCGTACGAGTCGACGCGCCCAGAGTCCGCGACCGCGACACACAAGTTCTCCCAAGGAGACACCACCTCGTTGGGCGGCGTGGGCAGATTGGAAAAAGACTGCCTCAAGCGCGTCTTCGGGGCCTCGTGCTGCCAGCAGCCATGCGACAGCACGTACGCTACCGTGTCGACGTGTGCTGCCCGCACCGCGCTGATGAGGCGTCGGTGACTGCAGCGTTAGCCAAAGCTCTCGTGAAGGCGTCCGCGCCGTTGCTCACTAGAGACAAGTGATAGGTCAACACTGTCGTGCAAACTGCGTGTTTTTAGCCCAAGATCGCATCCGATGCGAGCTGTCGACACCGCCGCCGCGATCCAGCCGGTCGCGGACACCGTCGCGACCGACGACGAGGCCCGCAAGCTCCTCAAGAAGGTGCTGGAAAAACGCAAGGCGTACCAAGCCCGGGCGGCCAAGGCCCTTCGGCGCGAAGAGGCTGCGCGCCTCAAAGCCGCCAAGGAGGCCGAGCGGGCGCAGGAGGCAGCCCAGCGCGCGCTACGAGACAACGCGTCCGCAAAGACGACCCCTAAGAAAAAGAAAAATACCGATTTGGCCAGCGTGAATGCGCCACCGCCACAGGTCAAGACGCCCAAGGACTTTGAAGTCCCATCGCTTCTCGGTGGTGCTGGCATCGCGTCCGAGACACCAACGCTGACAGCGCTTCTTGTGGTCATGACGCACTTCAAAGGTGCACATTTACCTCCGAACTGCACGACGTGCAAGTGACCGTGTGCCGCGGCTTTCTCGATCGCATTGGGCGGAACGGGATGGCCGCGGGCCAAAAGCAGCTCCAAAGCCTCGAGGTGACCTTGGCTCGCCGCCCAGAACGTCGCCGAGCCCGAGACGCAGTTGCCATCCGGGCTGCCACGTTGACCATCTTGCATGTAGTCGTGCAACGGCAAGGCGATGTCGTGTCGGGAGTTGTGCGTCGCTTGGCGTATCGACACCGTCCGTCGGTACGTCCAAGAGGTACGTCACCATATCGAGGTGGCCCGCGTACGCTGCCGTCGCGAAGGCAGCGTTCGTCCGACACAGTCCGTAGACCTCGTGGAGCCAGCGCACAACGTCCAAGTAGCCATGACCAGCAGCGAGCGCCATCGCATCTTCGTCACAGCCATCGCGTCGGTTCGTATGCAGCCATTCGAGAACATGCGTGTGTCCGCGGTACGCGGCCAAGGCGATAGATCGGCCCGACCCGACGCGCAGGCGGCTCTTGTGCAAGAGCTCCAGCGACGTCAGGTCGCCGTTGAAGGCCGCGAAATCCATGAGAGTACAAAAGTCCCACCGATCGAATGGACTCGGGTGCCGAGGCGACTTGTGCGAACCGACGTTGGTCGGTGGCAGCCATTCATCGTCGCTCGGTGGTCGCGGGTTCTCTTGGTCGATGCAGTCGAGAACGTAGCGCAGCATTGCGTGGTCTTGCTTGGCGAGCGCGCACTGCATTCTCGACTTGGTCATGCGTGGAACGTACCCACGTGTGTAGACGTGTTCAAGGACGGCGAGACCCCCCCTGTGGACGATCGTCTGAAGCGCAGCGTCGGTCAACTGCGCCGTCGCCTCGACGAGGTCGACAGCCTCAATATGCGCCTCGCCGAGTACACTGTGCGTCAAGTGCTCGACATGCGGTGCATTGAATATGAGCGATGGGTCAAAGCTTTCGGTGCGCTGCACGAGAAGAAAGCGAACGATCGACGCGTGACCATTGACCACTGCTGCCGTTGCCGCCGCGATCGTGCAGCCCTCGGTCCTTGCAGAGTGCAGGAAGAGGACGACGTCATAGTGACCGTTCATGGCCGCGCCGTCCATCGCGGCAGTGGTGCACGCCACGCCCGCCTCGTGAAGCCACAAGAGCAGTGGGAGGTCACCCGACATGGCGACAAGGTCCATCATCTTGGGTGTGGCCAGCGCTGGAAACTGCTCGAAGAGAAGACGCAGAATCGGACCTTGAGACGCAGCAGCAGCAAGCTCGAGCGTCGCCGACGTACACAGAGAGGCATCCCATCGCAGCCATTGCTGGACGAGCGTCACGTCACCTTCAACAATCGTTAGATGAAGTGCGAGGGCGCGGTCGTACAAGCACGGCGAGACAAAGAGCGCGTGATGAGGTAGCCTTGTCATCTCGCGTGGGTACCGCTCGAGATACGGCAACGACGCAAACCGGACTGGGACGTGGGCGAAAACCCCAGCTTGGTGCAAGATTCCAAAGGGTTGGTACGTCGTGAGCTCCATGGTGTTGGCGAGGCGCTGGACGATCGCCAAATCTTGCGGTAGTCCATCTTGGTACGACGCAATCGTTGTGAAAAGGTCGGGCGACCGGAGCACGGGCGAGGCCATCGTTGACAATGGGCAAATGACCAAGAGCGCAATGTGTCGCTTGGAACGGAATGACGGTCTTGCTCCTGGGTTGTCTCTGCGTCCAACAACAGCCGGGCATAAAAGCCACCATGATCACTGCAGTTGGTCACTCGGGACTAGAGCAGAGCAGCTGACCGCAGAAGGTTCTTCCTGCCTCGGCGCCTAGACCCCCGGAATCTGTAGACTCCGGATTTTTCCTACACGCTCGTAGAGAGCACAACACCTGGTCGTGGTGTGTTGTCGCTCTGTTCATCTCCAGGGTCTACAGTTGACTAGATGTTTGTCCCTCGGCTGCGTCGTTTAGTCGTCTAGTCAGTCTACTGGTCGCTGAGTCGACTCCATCAAGGCTCACCGCTAACACAAGCGTACATCGACTCAATTGATTGGATGTACTTTGGCTAGCAAGACCCAACTTCTTGTTTGACTAATTTCTGTCACCTCGATATCAGGTTACCTGATATCTTCCTTCCGACGCCAATGACGTCTACTGTTGGGCTTCTACTAGTGTGTAGTTGGTTGTCAAGACACAACAGACAACTTGTACACATATCTGGACCTAAAATTTGCGTTTAAAAGAAGATGCCGCCGCCGTCGTCGTCGTCTTCTTCGTCAATGTTGCTAAAGTACTGCTCGTACGACGTGGCCGACGTCGACGCGACGCGGCGCAGCCCCAAGGCCGGCTCGGCAGCGACCGACGAGAGCGCGCTCATCGACATCGAGTACTTGGCCGTCTTGAGCGAACTCGGCGGCGTCGCCACGGTCTCCTCCAGCGACGGTCGGTCGACGCTACGCCCGCGTCCTTAGCACACAAAACTGAATCACAAACGACACGTACCGAGGCAGCGGGAACGGCTGCGGGCGCTGCTCCATAAGCCGCAAGTCGTTCATCGAGAGGTTGCGGTTCGAGGTCGTCGAGACCTTGGTGAGCGCGTTGAGCACCTCCATGACTTGGTCAACGTCGTTGAGGAAGTGCTTGGCCGCGCTCGGCTTCTTCCCGACCGTGACCGTAAACGTCTTGGGCAGGTGCCGTTCTTCGAGATACGAAAACATAAACTCGTCCGACTGGTCGTCGCCAATGCACAAACAAAAGTCGACCGGCGAGCCTTGCTGGCTCTCGAGCGTCGAGAGGATCCGGTCGACCATGACGCCCTTGTCGACGCCTTCGGGGCGCACCTCCTAGTCGCGACTTCAATCTCCACATCCCGCACACAATCCGTACGAGGTAATCGGTGCCCGTGAGCACTTCGACTTGGTACGTCTCGAGCACTTGCTGCAGCTGGTCGTGGAGCTCCTTGGCCTGCAACTGGCCAAACTCGGGGTCGGCGTCGCGAAACTGCCACAAAAGCGCGCTCCCTTTCAGCTCAATGTACGTGCCGTGCGTGCGCTACATGGACAAACATCGTCCATACGGGTTGGACAAGAGAGCACTCATGGTACCTGCGTGTAAATGTCCATCACCGAGTGGGTAATGTCCTTCCACGAGTCGTCAAAGTTCTCCTTGGTGCACAGCCACGCGTCGTCTTCCTTGCCGCTGTCGCCCCACCGGTAGAGGTATCCGTGCTCGGCCGCCAAGCCGAGGCACTTGACGCCGCCCAGAGTCTTCTCCAGATCTTGGCGCTCGCGGCCACTGAGCACAAACACCGTGTTGCGTGGGTCGGCGCAGAGCTTCCCGAGCGCCGAGAGGAGCTCGTTCGACGGCGGCAGTGCGTCGTGCTGCGCCTGGCTCGTGATCGCACCGTTCTCGTCTTCTTGAATGTACTTGGAAAAGTCGTGGGCCGGCGTCGCCTCTTGCTGGAGCGTGTTGCCATAGTCAAACAGTAGGACGCGGCGAAAGCTGTGGCGGTACGCCCGGACGACCGTGTCCGTCTCGAGGAGCTTGAAGCCCGCGTTGAACTCGAGCATGCGGTAGCCAAGCCCGAGGCCGTAGCCCATGTACTGCATGCCGACGGTCGAGCTCGCCTTGCTCGTGCGCTTGAGGTCGACGAGGATGCGCTCGGCCCACTTCGTGCGAGTGTTGAACGCCACGTACTCGAAATCGTGCAAGTGCCGCGCAGCTTTCTCAGCCGGCGACATGGTCACGGCCGCGTACAGTGCCTCGACAATCTCGTTGCGCTTCCACGGGTTGACGCCGAGGCTGCCCGTGAGCACGCGGCTGCTGCCGGAAAACTCCGAGACGACGACGACGCCCGGGTCGTTCGAGAGCTTGTGCGCGTACACAAACTCAAACGGGTACAAGCTCACGGCGTCGCGGACCGTCGTCAAGAGCTAGGGACATAAAAGGTTATGAAGAAAACGAAAAAGCCGGAAAAACAGGCAAAAAGACGGCAAAATTGCGCAAACACGTACCATAATGTCGCCGAGGTTCCATAGCGGAAGGCGAATCGACAAGTCCGTGTTGTTGAGCTCCGAGTACGCAATCACGGGCTCGCGCTCCTGCGGAAAGGCCGCGTTGATGCGCTGGACCGTGGCGCGGAGCTCTTGGCGCAGGCGCAGCTTGGCCTCGGACGTGTCCGAACCGTCGACAATGCCAATCTACACGCGCATGACAACTTCTCAATCTCGGATTCAAAGGAGAGACCTGGACGACTTGGATCTTGTTGCGGTACGCGGGGTACGTCTTGAGAAACTGCTCGATCGCGATAAACTTGAGGTTGATGCCCTTGAGGCGCTCGACTTGGTCAATGCCCACGATGATCGTCTTCTCGCCCGCGCGGTAGAGCTCCTTGAGGCGGCGCGTCTCGTCCAAGACCTGGTCCTTGACACTCAGCCGCTCGACAAACGGCGGCTCGATGCCAATGTGGCTGATCGTGACCGCCACCATGCGGCCATTGTACTCGACGCCAATGTACCCGCCGGCCTGCGCCGTGTACTTGAGCCCGAGGATGCGCCGGCAGCTCGTGAGAAAGTGACGCGCGTGCTCGTACAAGTGAAACCCTACATTTCCCAAACTCGTATAAATCTATCAAGACAAGAGCGTACCAATGTGGTCGGCGCTGAGCATGCCACGGAGGAGGTCGGCCCGCACCGAGAGCGTCCGGAAAATCTCCGACGACGGGAACGGCGTGTGCAAGAAGAGTCCGACGTTCACATACGGCAGTCGGCGCGCGAGGAACGACGGCGCGACCAGCAAATGGAGCCCGTGGACCCAGACGAGGTCGCCTTCGTTGTAGATCTCAATCACCTTGTTGACAAACATGCGGTTCACGTGCATGTACGAGCTCCACGCGTTCTTCTGCTGCGACGGGTTCCACCACCGGGTCGGGAGCTTCCCGTACACGTCGACAATGTTGTGAAAGATGGGCCACAGCGTCCCGTAGCAAAACGCGTGGAACGTCTGGTGCATGGCCGGCGCCAAGAAGACGGGCACACAGTGGAAGGCTTGGAGCTGCCGCGCGAGCTTCTCTTCGTCCGCCTTGGGGATCGGGTCCTTGCAGTGCACGAGGCCAACCCACGTGAGCCGCATCGCCGACGACGTGCCGTCCCGGTAGAGGAGCCCGTTGCTCTTGTTTTCTTTGATGAGACCGGACGGGCAGAGGAGGTTGTCGTCTTCCCAGTCAATGTCGTACTCGCCGTCGGGTCGGCGCGTCACGAGCACCGGAAGACGGTGCACGACGATGATGACGCCGTCCGTCGATTCGATCGTGAGGTTCTGTGGCGAGAGGGGCAAGCCCGCGCTGTCGTCCTTGCTGCTGACCTTGGTGATGGGCGACGAGCACGCGTTGTAGCCGCCCGAGCGGCGTCGGAGGCCGAGCCCAACGCCGCCAACATTCGTGCTAGCGTCCGGGTCGTGCCACGGCAAGGGCGACGCCGGTGGCAAGAGCGCTGGCTGCGCCATGCCCATCTCGTCGTCGTTCTCGCGCTCTTCGCCTTCGGGAATCGAAAACGACTCTTTGAGGAGACGCGTGCTGCCGCGCTTGATGCCACGGCGAGAGACGTCGTCGGTCATGGCAGCGGTTGCGCGGCGATCGACAAATGCTTGGCCGCTGCTCAAACGGGGCACGACCGTGTGCGACAGCTCCTTCTCGAACTGCTGCATCTGGCCCTTTGCGTACAGATCCTCGCGGCTTTGGTCGAGCACGTCTTGGATTTGCATCGAGTCGCCCATCATGGTCGCCGACCGCTCGATCGTCTCGTAGCGCACAAACTTGCCGCCGGCGCAGATCGCGTACCGATAGTTGAGCACGGTGTTGGAGCTCATGACGACGGGATCGGCGTTGTACCAGAGCGGGTACATCTCGGGCGTCGTGACGAGGCGGCAGCTCCCGACAAAGGACCCGGGTACGACACCGCTCGTCGCATCGTCGCGCCGCGCGTACGTGTAGTGGGCTTCGTTGAAGTGCATGATCTGGGTCGGGTGCTGCGGCGACGGCGGTACGCTCGTCGTGCCATGCTTGGGGCTCTGGACGGCGCTCATGTCGACGTGCGCTGGCAGCGCCGTCCCGAGCGCGGACGCGTCGCCGACCACGTAGAGGGACTCGCCATGGCCTAATGGCGCATGCACCTGGAAGTCAACCCTCGACTGGCCGCTCGCCATGTGCATCCCGATGCCCGAGGAAGAGCCCCACCCGACGGCATGGCGGAGGCGCTGGAACATCGTCGATTTCTCCTTAACCGGACTGTGAGAACAAGTACCTTGTGGGGCCGTGCCGTGCTCTTTTTTATTTTATAACTTGATGTTTGTAAGAAGATTCTACGCATGGATTATAATTTTGCCGAAACCATTCAGGGTTGTGGTCCGGAAGCGTCGCGAGAGGAGCGGCAGCCATCCCATCAGGCTCGGTGCATGATGAAGCGCCCGGACGATGCAGCCAAGAGGCCTCGCTAGCGGCTGCGCAACGCGACGTGAATGACGACCATAGGTGCGAGCACTTCCTCCTCGTGGGCCATGCCCGATGTAATGGCACCGCATGGCCACGCCCGTTTGCTCATGGAAGAGGATAGTACATGTCGATCAGCACACTGCGCCATTATTGTGCTATGGCAAGGTAGCCTTGTCCACAGCAACGAGACTAGCATGGACGGGCGATGGCAGTGCTTGCAGCGACGCCTGGAGCGCATCCCGCTCGTGCTGCACACTACATAGCTACGAGGTAGCAGCCAAGACGAAGATTGCAGGATAGCCTACCTCGCAAGCTTCTCGGCGAGACTCTTTTGCACCATGCGCGCTTCGTGTGCATCTTGGGCGAGCGCCGTGACATTGACATGCGAATACTTTTGCAGCGACTTGACTTCGGTGATGAGCACCTTCTTGTGCTTGAGGAGCGTCGCGGTTTGGTCTTCGAGGGCGGCGACCTTGGCCCGCATGTCGGCAATCTCTTGTGTTTTGTCGTCGACTTTGGTCTTCTCGGACGCGAGCTGCCACTCGAGTCGCTGGAGACTGCGCTGATTGTCCGAGAGATCGAGTGTCTTCCACATGACCTCTTGCTGGAACTGCGCGCAGAGCGACGTCACACGCTGCATACCTATGCATTGTAGTGAGCTCGAAAGCGTCGCTGCGTCGTACTTGGTTTTCCGAGACGAGCTGGTCCTTCTCCTTGGCCAGCGCATGCACCTTGAGGTCCATCTCCATCACTTCTTGGAGCGAGCTCTGCAGCTAATGGGAACAGATGCGATGGCAGGTGAGAAGGGCGCGGTTCGTACCGATGTAGGTTGCGCCATGACTACGGGCTGCGCTTGCTGCTGCGCCAAACGCTCATTCTCTTGGATCGCACTGTGATACAACTGGCGAAGATGGCGCGTCTCCGACTCCTGCGTGGCAAGCTGGCGCGTCGAGGCTGAGACGGCAGTCTCCAGCTGGTCCTACGATGTCATCGCTGCATGAGCAGTCGCATGCGATGGCGAGGCGGCAGCGAACCATGCGATGCAGCAGCGCCGCGAGAGAAGACGCATCCAAGAGCTTGAGCCGCTCGATCGCGCGTGCGAGCGTGTCGTCACCGAAGTTGCTACCCGAGGGTACGTCATGTGGTGCGTCATTGACGTCGTCATCATCGACGAGGACGGCGCCATCAAAGTCGAGGCAGAGCTCGATCTTGTCGGCAGCAAACTCGAGGTCCACGGCAAACATCCTTGCACAGTGGCACGGTATGCGGACACGCCAGGATATCCGGATGATCCAAGTGTTTAAAACACAGAGTTTTTCTTTTAATCTTGCTAATTGTATGCCAAGTTGTTGGTTAGAAAACGCGAATAAAACATTTCCGGCTGCTGGCTTTTCGCTGTCCCATCCCACGACCAAGCGACCCAAGCGACCAAGGATGATGAAGGCGACGGCGCTGCTGGCCGCGCTCGTTTTCGCCGTCCTCGCGCTCTGCGCGTCGGCCGACCCGAAGCTGCGCTCGAAGCTCGGCGACCAATGCCACGCTGTCGGCGACTGCCTCCCTTGCGCCAAGTCGGAAGCGGTAGGTCGCACGCTGGGGCATACAGTGTATGACGGGCGGCTCATCATGCTGCGTAGAACGAAAACTGGTGCCGAGGCACGGGCTACAAGCAAGAGCTGCTTTGCAAGAGCGAGACGACCAACACCACGGTGTACGAGCGCTGCATACCGCCCGCAGCGAACCAAGACTTTACTGTCGTCGTCACCTTTGAGGTACGTTGCCAAGGCGTCACGAGGTCGCATGGGATGCATGGAGACGTAGGCTGCCATGTGTGGCCTCCTCGCGCTCGCGTCCGTGCTGCTGGCGAAAGAAAAGAAGAAGCACATGAGCTCGTTCGACTTGCGCAAGGACCCGCGCCAGCCCAGCAAGCCGTTCCAGACATGATTCTGCACACTGTCAATGAACCTTATTTGCAACGCGTACTTCCTGCGTACTACCTGCACTACATCCGGGACACGCAGTATGGTTGGCATACAAGACCTCTACGAGTCATGCAGCATGCTGCCATCTCGACCATCCTCTCCGAGTGCCAATACACGGTGGTGCCCCGTCTGGCACATCCTGTGCCAGAGATGGGACCGGGCGCGACAGTGCGTCTGAACGTGCCACGGCTTGGTTACTGCCTGCTGTGCCCCTTCACTGGGTACTACGAGGAGTGGACTGTCGCGACGCCACGAGTACCTGCCTGTCTCTGCAGCCGTGGCGCCGAGCTGCCGCCGCAGCAGTCGACGCAGCGCTCTCCGCGCTGTCGGCAAAGCTGGTCGGGCGGACCGAGCCGGCCGTCTTGGATGTGGCTACTTCAACATTGCGGTCAGCCTTTTCGAGAAGCCGACCGACAACCCTACACGATTTCCGTCGGCGGCTTCGAAATTTCACCCGTCAATAGTGTAAGATTCGATACTTTTGCGATCCGGCTTTGGCCAAGGATTTCTCGTTTGGCCAAGGATTTCTCGAGCGAAAAGAATGTCCTACACTGTACAGACTGTAGAAACATGAGCCTACTGGAGTAGCCTCCATGATGTGACGACAAGGCGCCTTGCATGCATGCAAGGTTGCGATCCCCAGGGACACGCGTGTCGCGCGGCCTTGTGCCGACGCCACAGGAAGCCATGGGACGTAGCAGGCAGTACTAGCTCGCTGTATCGTAATAGACGAGCACGGATAGAGGTTATCGGTCTTAGATGGGTTGAAGTGTAAGCATGACGTGGCGCGGCTGCCGGAAGACACGGTCGCCCGCTGCGTTTCACACGATTCAACGGTGCACACTATTTACCATTCCAAGATCGCGGTGTGGGGCGCGTCCGGATACGCTACCGCGGTGCCACGTGTCGAACCAATCGGCGGCGGCCTTCTGGCCACTTTATCCGGATGTTCTTCCATCGAAAGCGGGTGCAGATAGAAATGGATTTCATTTTGGCCAATCAGATACGGGCACAGAGACATGGGGCGGAGGCGGTTTGGCGATTTGCATATTTACCGTGAATTGCACAAGGCGCAATGGCAGTCCGCTTCGACCTGGTAGACGATGACATGCTCCATGCAGGAGGTTCATGCAGAGGCTCATGCATCTACCTGCGTAGAAAACGGTCGACGAAGTGCTATCGCATTACAAGGTCACGGAAGAGGCGGGCCTGAATGATGCCCAGGTCGAGGCCTCGCGCAAGGAGCATGGCTGGAACGAGCTCGACAAGGAAGAGGCGACGCCGCTGTGGCAGCTCGTGCTCGAGCAGTTTGACGATGCGCTCGTCAAGATCCTCCTCGCCGCAGCCATGGTGTCATTTGTGCTGGCGTGGATGGACGAAGACAACCATGGCGAAGGGATCGGCGCGTACGTCGAGCCGTTTGTCATCTTGGTCATCTTGGTGCTCAACGCCGTCGTCGGCGTCTGGCAAGAGTCGAACGCCGAGTCGGCGCTTGAAGCGCTCAAGAACTTGCAGCCGGAGAACGCGCGCGTGCTCCGCAACGGCCACATGCAGACGATCGCGGCGCGCGAGCTCGTGCCCGGCGACGTGGTCGAAGTCCGCGTCGGCGACAAGGTGCCGGCCGACATGCGCCTCATCTCGCTCAAGACGACGGCGATGCGCGCGGAGCAGTCGCAAATGACGGGTGAGAGTGTCTCGGTCAACAAGGACATTGACGAGCTCCCGGCCAACACGGAAGACGTGATCCAAGCCAAGAAGAACATGCTCTTTGCGACGACTGTCATTGTCAACGGCATGGGCCACGGCGTCGTCGTCAAGGTCGGCATGGAAACCGAGATTGGCCAGATCCAGAAGAGCGTGCAGGCTGCGGCCGAAGACGAAGAGTCGACGCCGCTCAAGAAGAAGCTCGACGAGTTTGGTGAGCTCCTCTCCAAGGTCATTGGCGTCATCTGCCTCGTCGTGTGGCTGATCAACTACAAGAACTTTTTCGACCCCGTGCACGGCTCGGTCTTCAAGGGCTGCATCTACTACTTCAAGATTGCCGTCGCGCTCGCCGTCGCCGCGATCCCGGAAGGTCTGCCTGCTGTCATCACCACGTGCCTTGCGCTCGGGACCAAGAAGATGGCCAAGAAGAACGCGATCGTGCGCAAGCTGCCGTCGGTCGAGACGCTCGGCTGCACGACCGTCATTTGCTCGGACAAGACGGGCACGCTCACAACCAACGAAATGTCGTGCGTTAGCTTTACGCACCCGGGCGCGACCGAAGGCGACCTCATCACGTACGAGGTCGAAGGCCACACGTATGCGCCGCTCGGTGCCATCCACACGACGCAGGTTCGCAGCGAAAAGTCCGTCTTTAGCCTCGCGACCGTCTGCGCCATGTGCAACGAGTCGGAGATCGAGTACAACGAGGGCAAGTACGTCCGCGTCGGCGAGCCGACCGAAGCCGCGCTCCGCGTGCTCGTCGAGAAGGCCGGCGTGCCGGACGCGGCGGCGCAAGCCGAGTTTGAAGGCCTTCGCAAGACCAACCCGGCGAAGGCTGTCCAGTACTGCAACTCGTTCTGGAAGCGCCAGTTCAAGAAGCTTGCGACGCTCGAGTTCTCGCGCGACCGCAAGTCCATGTCGGTGCTCTGCGCGTCGGTCGCGACCAAGGCGAACGTGCTCTTTGTCAAGGGCGCGCCGGAAGGCCTCCTCCACCGCTGCACCCACGTTCAGCTCAGCAACGGCACGACCGTCGCGCTCACAGAGACGGGCAAGAAGGCGATTCTGGCCAAGGTGACAGAGATGGCGGGGTTGAGTCTGCGCTGCCTCGCGGTTGCGCAAAAGACGTCGAACCTCGGGAACCTTGCCTCGTACGACGGCGACCGCCACCACGCCGCCCACAAGACGCTCGAACAGACGGACAACTTTGCGTCGATCGAATCGGGCCTGACGTTCCTCGGCCTTACCGGTATGCTCGACCCGCCGCGCCCGGAGGTCCGCCCGATGATTGCCATGTGCAACACGGCTGGCATCCGCGTCATTATGATCACGGGCGACAACAAGCTCACGGCCGAGTCGGTGTGCCGCAAGATTGGCATTTTCGAGGCGGACGAGGACGTGTCGACCAAGTCGTTTACGGGCGCCGAGTTCTTTGCGCTGCCGGCCGAGAAGCAGGTGGCGCTTTTGATGAACAAGGAAGATACGGGCATGGCGTTCTCGCGCACGGAGCCCAAGCACAAGCAGATGCTGGTCAAGATGCTCAAGCAGAACGGCGAGGTGACGGCCATGACGGGCGACGGTGTCAACGACGCGCCCGCGCTCAAGCAAGCCGACATTGGTATTGCCATGGGTATCTCGGGCACCGAAGTCGCCAAGGAAGCGGCCGACATGGTGCTGGCCGACGACAACTTTGCGACGATCGTCTCGGCCGTCGAGGAAGGCCGGGCGATCTACAACAACATGCAGGCGTTCATCCGGTACCTCATCTCGTCCAACATTGGCGAGGTCGCGGCCATCTTCTTCACGGCCGCGCTCGGTTTGCCCGAAGGCCTCATCCCTGTCCAGCTGCTCTGGGTCAACCTCGTCACGGACGGCCCGCCCGCGACCGCGCTCGGCTTCAACCCGGCCGATAAGGACATTATGACCAAGCCGCCGCGCCGCGCGAACGACGTGCTCATCAACGGCTGGGTCTTCTTCCGCTACATGGTCGTCGGTATCTACGTTGGCTTTGCGTGCGTCGGCGTGTTTGGCTACTGGTACATGTTTTACGACGGCTCCAACGACGGCCACTCGCTCATCACGTACCACCAGCTCACCAACTGGGGCAAGTGCGCGACGTGGTCCAACTTCACGGTCAACAACTTTGACGGGCACGACTTTTCGGCCGATCCGTGCGCGTACTTTACCGTCGGGAAGGCCAAGGCGTCGACGCTGTCGCTCTCGGTCTTGGTCGCGATCGAGATGTTCAACGCGCTCAACGCGCTCTCGGAAGACGGGTCGCTCGTGACGATGCCGCCGTGGTCCAACCCGTACCTCATCATTGCGATGCTCGTGTCGTTTGGCTTGCACTTTGTCATCCTGTACGTCGACTGGCTCGCGGCCATCTTTAGCGTTACGCCCCTCGACCTGAACGAGTGGCTTGTCGTGCTCGCCTTTTCGCTGCCCGTCATCCTCATTGACGAAGTGCTCAAGCTCTTTGGCCGCCACTTTGCCGCGCGCGACCTCGAGAAGCGCATGGCCGCCAAGCTCAAGCACGAGTAATGCACGATGATGATGAGTCTGCTGTCGA